CACGTAAGCTGGAGGATGTGCAGCTGCCACGTGAGCTGCTGCCATGTCAACAGGTGACACAGCATCCGCCACGTCAGCAGACAGGCCCACCAGTCACCACGTCAGGAACTGCCACGTCAGCAGGTGCCACGTAAGCAACTGCCTTGTGAGAACGTGCCACCGGATTTGCAGTTCCCGGTGTACCAGCTGCGCGTTTGCGCCCCCCACATTGTCGCTTGGGGCTCATACCGTCGGGTGACATAGCGGACAGGGCGGAGGGGCCATTCGACGAGGACATTGCCTGCCCAAGGGACCATGTTGTGTGAACTTGGGTGACTCCTGGGCGGATGCTGCCAGGCAATTCTCGAGGGGCGAAAAGACTGCGCTGCAAGCTCTGCAACAAGGAGTACAAAGGGAACAGGCAGCGTGCAGCAGAGCACTTCATCTTGGCGAGGGCGTCGGCCAGATGTCCGGGTGCGAACCTCTCCATTTGGAAGAGGCTGCACCGCATCGGTGCGAAGCTTCCACCGGATCTGCTGGAGAGGGTGCGGATGGCGTTGGAGCACGAAAGGGACGACGACGATGACGACATTCCTGACGCGTCAGATGCTGGAGAGGAGGGGGGAGGTGGGATTCCTGATCAGCTAGAGGAAGAATGTGGTGCGGAGGGTGAGGAGGGATTGGATGAGGGGACGAGGGGAGTTATGACTGGAGGATCCGCCGGTCGAGGGAGGCCTGCGTCCTTGCAGGCTGTGATGCACGGGGCCCGCGCACGCAGAACGGGGAGGCAGACGAGCATCAAGAGGTATGTGAAGAACCCAAGGCAGGAGGAGATAGATGACTCCTGCTGCGAGTTCTTCGTGGAGAACGCGATCCCGTTCAACGCCGCGAAGAGCAAGAGCTTCAATAAGTTCACGCGGGCGTGTTATGGGCCACAACCTGCAGCGAGTCATCCTCTTGTGCCTAATGGGTACAACCCCCTCAGGTGTCGGCTCCTGGATTGCCTGAACAAGAGGTTGGAGGAAGAGGAGCAAGTGATCCGGGACGACTGGGAGGTGACAGGCTGCACGTTCATAACCGATGGGACCACGGACATCTGTGGTCGATCGCTTATGAACTACATCCTCGCAGGCCGTTCGAAGCCTGTTTTCATCAAGTGCGAGGATGTCAGTGAGGGGACAAGGACTCCGCAGTTGTCGTGGCTGGATGGAAGCGGTTCTTCAGGGAGGTGGGGGTGGAAAAGATCACGGCCATCTGCACGGACTCTTTTGCGGGCAACACGAGTGCTGCCAGGATGTTGAGGGAGGACCCTGAGTTCAGCCAGATCCATTGGCTGCCTTGCACCGCTCACTGCATGGACCTCCTCCTGCACGACATTTGCAAGAAGGAGTGGGCGGCTGAGATCATCAGCAAGGCAAACAGAGTGGTGAACTTCTTCCGGGTTCACAGGTGGCCCGGATCGGGATTGAGAACTGCACTTGTCAAGTTCCTGGACTTGAAATGCAGTTGTCTCCTCCGAACCGGCGCAGACGAGATTTGGGATGCACTACGTTGTGAGGAAACCCGGGGAGGGGCGTCCACTTGTCGCTGAAGCCAAGGGCAATGGCGCCTGTCACTCGCCGTGCCCGCTTCCGAGGTCCTCAGCGACCAGCAGGAGAGCCTTTCGTGTGCTGTCTGTCACCCGTCTTGTTTTAAACAAATTACATTGTTTAGTTCAAATGCTCTTTCCTTCAAGATATCTTAGAATCCACGTGAAATCTGATCAGGAGTGCTTTACTCTCGTGCTTCAGGGCAGTCCCTTAAAAGAGAGGAACAGGATAATATAATTAGATAAAAGAAGCGAGTGTTGAACAAGGCACTAAATTTGACCAACTTTCAAATGAAGAGTACACACACAAACAATGAACTGGCAGCTAAGGGGGGGGGGGTTGATTCCCTTTTTCTATTTAGTCCAGCCACGTGAAAAGCTTCACTGTAAGCCTGTTTGCAGATAGCTC